CCATCCAGGTCTTTGCCGAGGTCCCACACTTCCTTGCCGAGGTGTGGTCCCATTGGCCACATGCAAAAGCAAAGTCGGGAAAACCAGGGTTCCCCTTCGAAGAACATGAAGAATATGATAACCATGATCATGAGAAGATAATGCAAGATCAAAACTTGTTACAAAATCAAAGATTTCATGCCATGAGTTCCAAAAGATGGACCTGGGTACCCATACAAGAAGGTCATGCAAGAATAAACACAAAAACACGATTCTTGTTTCAAACTTTTGGATCAAAACGGGGCTCTCCTCAAGAACATATGAAAACCATTTTTCTCTTTTCAAAACCAACTTCAAATCGGTGCATGACATACAAAACAGGTCCGATCATGCAAAGCAGCTAGATAATCGATAACAACCATCAAAGTAGATCAAGATTCTAACCTCAAAACTCGAATCCAACGGTTCAAACCACGAAGATCAAGCTTGGAAGACTTGCTCTCACTCAAGAAATTCTTTTCCTCCTCTCTAGAGCTTCTCTCTCTAAAACAAAGATTTGAGACCAAAAAAAAATGATTTGTTCTAAGTCTGCCGGCTGTCTTAACAACTAGCTCGGACACGTGGTGCTACCGGGTTGGCTCAACTCAAAAAGGTGATTGATTGATAAGACAAGTCTCTGACAAAGCGTATGCAACAAGCTGGGTAAGACACATCGGCAAGAAGTGACATCGACTCAAATCAAGGGTCCGGCCACAGGATAACAAAGACATCGGCTAGGGAGGACGACGCTTGACTAAGCTGTGCCACATCTCGGCCTAGGCCATACCTGCCGCGGACAAGGTTCACTAAGTGCAAAACAACTCAGCGATAAATGCCCGAGGTGAAGGTGGGGGTTGACCAAGATCTCAAAACAGTTCCAAGTACAAAGGTTCAAAGGCGAACTAAGCTCATGATGACCTCGGCCACACTCACACCGGACAAGGAACAAAATCACGCAAGCAATACTAACAAAACAAGGCAAGCAAAACTTCAAATCAACACAACAAGGCAAAGCCATGCATGAATGTATGCAAGTATGACAAGAGTAAGGTGAGGGTTGTTACATCCTACCCTCCTTAAAGTAGTTTGGTCCCCAAACTTAGATTACCTTGTTCCAGGAACAACTCCGGATAACGGATTCTCACATCCTCTTCTTTTTCCCACGTGGCTTCTGTGCCATAATGCTCATTCCATTCGACCTTTACCATTGGTATCGATCTGTTTCTCAACTGTCTCACTTGTCTGTCAATAATCCTAATTGGCTTCTCCTCGTAGCCCAAATCCTCATTAACAGTGATCTCGGAATGATCAATTACGTGCAGTGGATCTCGGATGTACTTTCTCAACATCGAAATATGAAACACGTTGTGGACTTGGCTCAATTCTGGCGGCAAAGCAAGTCTGTAGGCAACGGGGTTAATTCTCTCGAGAATTTCAAATGGCCCAATATAACGAGGTGCTAACTTACCTTTCCTCCCAAATCTGGAAACTCCTTTCATTGGTGAGACTTTCAGGAATACATGATTCCCAACTTCGAATTCTAACTCATTCCTTCTCTGATCGGCGTAGCTCTTTTGTCGGCTCTGGGCAGTTTTAATCCTCTGTTGGATGAGTTTAATCTTCTCTGTTGTCACTTGAATCAATTCAGGACCAAGCAGAGCTCTGTCTCCAACTTCAGTCCAACATATCGGCGACCTACACTTTCTTCCGTACAAGGCTTCATACGGCGCCATGCCAATGCTAGCTTGATAACTGTTGTTGTAAGCGAATTCCACTAAGGGCAAATGCATTCCCCAACTTCCTAAGAAGTCCAATACACAAAGTCTAATCATATCTTCAAGTGTCTGAATTGTCCTCTCTGTCTGCCCATCCGTCTGGGGATGAAAAGCTGTACTAAATCTCAGCTCGGCTCCGAAAGCCCTCTATAGACTCTGCCAAAATCTAGAAACAAATTTAGGATCTCGGTCTGACACAATTGACATCGGCACTCCATGAAGTCTAACAATCTCGTTCACATATAGAAAGGCAAGTTGATCGGCGTTGAAGGTAGTCTTAACAGGTAGAAAGTGTGCTGACTTAGTTAACCTATCGACAACAACCCAAATTGAATCCATACTCTTTGGTGATCGGGGCTGGGAAAGAAAGTCTGTCAAAAATCCTTTGTTGGCTGGGGAAGAGCTGCAAAAAAAAAAACAAGAAGAAAAACATTTAAAAACAAATATTTTGAAAAGAGGGTTTTAAGGTTTAAAATAGTTTGGCAAAAAAATGGGTGAAGGTTGGGATTAAAGCTTAAATTCCATCTTTCTTACTGAGGACTCTGTGAGAAATACATTCTAATTGTCATCATCGGGTAATCAAAAGATAGCGCCCAAGTCTTAGGGCAAGTCAAAATGGGGTGTTTACAAGTCTTAAAGACTATTTGGTGTTCCCTGGATGGACAGCAAACTTGGAACTGTGAGCTTCCTGCAAAATTCTCCTTTTCAACTCTGGGATGTCGGCTACGCATAGCCTTCCTTCAAACTTAAGCACTTGATTTTCGAAGGTATACCCTGATCTTGGCCTTGTGACAATCTCCTCGGTTACTTTCTTGAAGTATTCATCCTCCATCTGCCTCATCTTTACCTCATTAACAATGGTTGGCTCCACTGTCATCACGGTCAAACATGCCAAATTTCCATCTGACTTCCTGCTCAAAGCGTCGGCTACACTGTTAGCTTTACCCGGGTGGTATTGAATTTGCATATCATAGTCCTTCAACAACTCAAGCCACTGTCTCTGCCTCAAATTCAATTCCTTCTGTGTGAATAGGTACTTTAAACTCTTATGATCTGTAAAAATCTGACAAGAAGCTCTATACAAATAGTGACGCCAAATCTTCAAGGCAAAAACCACAGCCGCTAATTGTAGATCGTGGGTAGGATAGTTCTTCTCATGAGGTTTCAACTGACGAGATGCATAAGCTATAACCTTACCCTTTTGCATTAACACACAACCCAAACCTTTACGCGATGCATCACTATAGACATGAAACTCTTCGTTACCTGATGGAAGTACGAGCACTGGTGCTGTAACTAACCTCGTCTTCAGTTCCTGGAAGGCGGACTCCCGATCTTCTGTCCATTCATATGGTGTCCCCTTTTTAGTCAGTTGCGTCAATGGAATTGCAATCTTTGAGAAATCTTTCACAAACTTCCTGTAATAACCTGCCAATCCCAGAAAACTATGAATCTCGGAGACATTAGTCGGCCTCGGCCAATTTACCACGGCTTCAACTTTACTAGGATCAACTGAGATACCCTCTTCACTAATCACATGACCCAAAAATGAGATAGTAGAGAACCAAAACTCACACTTGTTAAACTTAGCATACAATTTCCGGTCCCTCAGAATCTGTAAGGCGAGTCTCAAATGATTCTCATGTTCAGCTTTACCCTTGGAATAGATCAATATATCATCAATGAAAACAACTACAAACTCATCTAAATACGGTTTGAAGACTCTGTTCATTAAATCCATAAATGCAGCAGGGGCATTGGTTACTCCAAAAGGCATCACTAGAAACTCGTAGTGGCCATATCTTGTCCGAAAAGCAGTCTTTTCATGTTCGGCTTTACTCTTGGAATAAATCAATATATCATCAATGAAGACAACTACAAACTCATCTAAGTGTGGCTTGAAGACTCTGTTCATCAAATCCATAAATGCAGCAGGGGCATTGGTTACTCCAAAAGGCATCACTAGAAACTTGTAGTGGCCATATCTTGTCCGAAAAGCAGTCTTCTCAACATCTTCGGCCTTAACTTTAAGTTGGTGATAACCAGACCTAAGGTCAATCTTAGAAAAGACTCGTGCTCCTTGCAATTGGTCGAGCAAATCATCAATTCTAGGCAATGGGTACTTGTTCTTGATAGTGACCTTATTAAGCTCTCTATAATCAACACAAAGGCGAAGTGTGCCATCCTTTTCCTTAACAAATAAAACAGGTGCTCCCCATGGCGAAGTGCTCGGCCTAATAAATCCCTTATCTAACAGCTCTTGCAATTGCAGCTTCAATTCTCTAAGCTCAGCTGGGGCCATCCTATAAGGTGTTTTGGAGATCGGCTGTGTTCCCGACATGATGTCAACAGTAAACTCTATCTCTCTATCGGTTAAGTGGCCAGGCAATTCATCTGGAAAGACGTCGGGGAATTCACTAACAACTGGGATGTCGGCTAAATTGACACTCCCATTCTGATCACTCAGTATACTGCACAAGTAGCCTCGACACCCTTTCTGAATTAACTGATAGGTCTTAATAGACGAAATCAAGTAAGGTGGGGGCACTATCCCTTTACCCTGGAAAGTAACCTCGGCTAGGTTTGGGGGTCTCAATGTGACACTTTTTGAAACACAATTTATAGATGCATGATTTGCGACTAGCCAATCCATTCCCAGTATAACGTCAAAATGAATCATATCCAGAGGCATTAAATCTACTAAAAGTTCAACATTCTCAATCACAACAACACATGCTTTGTAAATGGATGCAACAATCATAGATCTCCCGGACGGAGTAGACACAGATAATACGAAGTCAAGGGGCTCTAGTTCTCTATTAATTTTCTCGGCAAACTTAGTAGATACAAACGAATGAGTAGAACCCGAATCAATCAACACATAAGCATCTTGAGAGAAAATTAGAAGTGTACCTGACACTACTGCCTCAGCATTCTGAGTGTCTCCTGGTACTAATGCAAACACTCTGCCCTGTCTCATCTGTCCTTTCCCAGCATTTCCCTCCTGAACGGAACCCGAGGTATTCTCACCCTTCTTGTTGTTATCAGCTTTTGTCTTGGGGCAATCTCTCACATAATGACCCATCTCGCCACATTCATAGCAGGCTCCAGACGTCCGACGACAGATCCCGAAATGTTGCTTTCCACAATCCGAACACATCGGTTTAGCACTCCCTTCCTGTCTTAGGTTACTAGTACTGCCCATGTTCTTTCTCTTGGTGTTCAGTTGTCCTCGACGATGGTCATAGTTCTGCCTTTTCCGCTGGTTCTCTCCCGAGCTCTGGTATCGATTCAAATTAGCTTCGGCGTGAATAGCTTTGTCTAATACTTCGGCATAAGTCGGCATATCGAGTAAACTCACCCGGTCTTGAATCGGTCCACGAAGCCCACACTCGAACTTCCTGGCCTTCATATATTCATCGTTGGTCATGTGAGGTACAAACCTCACCAACTCAGTAAAAACGCGGTCACATTCCGCCACGGTTCTGTTGCCTTGCGTCAGAGTATGAAATTCGGTAGCCTTGCGGTTTCGAACACTTAGGGGAAAATGTTTCTTGTAGAACAACTCTAAGAATCGAGTCCAGGTCAAATCCGGATTGCTCCCTCTAACCATCATCCACCACCTGCGAGCGTCATCATCCAATGTGAATGCTGCCAACGTCACTTTCTGAGCGTCGGTGCTAGGGAAGATCTCAAACAACTTCTCCATTTCCAAAACCCATGCCTCAGCCTTCATCGGCTCTATACCCCCGGAGAGGAAACTGTCCTCTACATTGAAACCTCTGAGGTTCAATGGATGAAGGACCCTTGGGAAATTAAAAGGAGGTATCTCACCACTCAGCATGCCCTACCTCGCTTTGATCATTACCGATACATGTATGAGCAGATCTTAATTGATACTGGCTCAATGGATTTCAAGCATACATTGGCTGAGTCCCATCGGGCTGCCAGTCCAATAAATTACAGTAAATGCACTATCCAGCAAATTTTGCCCATGAATGCTTGGGGCATGCATCCTCACGTTACTCGGTCTCTTGAGATCTATAACAAGGAGGTTCATTTCAGTTATTGGGATTATATTATTGCTTTTAAAGAAACTTTTTATTATATGAATCCCCCTCAGAACCATTCTTGGTGTATCCGAGTCCTTCCCGACGTTCTACAAAACGATCTCCCCTCCTGGTTTTTCGTTTGGTGGGATAGCCATGGCATTCAAATTGATGCATTTCCTGACGATATCCACAACGCATTTAATGAATGGCATGTTGCTTTCAGTCATCTTCCTAGACACCAAGATATTTCCATGTCCAAATCCACAACTCATTTTGTTATCCGTTTTGGTATTCTGTGGATATGGAAATGGGATTTTCAGACTGATTTTCAGAATAAAATTCCCCGATTAAAAAGAGTATTCTTTTATAAATGGTGGAATAAAATGGATGATCCAAAACCTCGACAGGAATTACTCCAGAAGATTAAGGCTCATACTCAAGCCTGCTGGGATGCTACTCCTAAACTCATCCCAGCTGTTGGGATGCTACTTCTTCCTTTTCTTGTATGTTGCTTTTCTCGCTGAATCATTAGTGATGAATGCAAACTTCACCTTCTTTCTAGTCCGCTATCACCAAGTTCTGAAGCCCTTTCCCAGTCAAACATTGGTACATGACTTCTGTCATCCCCTTCTCCTGGTTGTCCTTGTGTTTTTTCTTGAGATGTTCGTTTGCTTTCAATATCCTTTGCCTAATGAAACTTTCTTGGTTCACCATCTTCTTGCTTTGCTCCATCTCAGGTATCCTCTTGAGAATTTACAGAGAATTTACTGGGAATTTATTGAGTAATTTACTATGAATTTATTGAGAATTTACTGAGAAATTTACTAGCAATTTACAGAGTAATTTAGTGAGTAATTTACTTAGAATTGGTTGAAAATTTACTGGGAATTTATAGTGTAATTTACTAATAATTTAATGAGAATTTACTGAGTAATTTGCTGAGAGTTTACTGAGCAATTTTTTGAGTAATACTGAGAATTTACAAAGTAATTTACAGAGAATTTGCTGGGAATTTACTGAGTAACTTACTGAGAATTTACTGTGAATTTTCCTGGTAATTTAATAAGAATTTACTAAGTAATTTTTTGATAATTTACTGGGAATTTACTGAGTAATGTACTCAATAATTTTGCTGAGAATTTACTGAGCAATTTACTAGGAATTTACTTAGTAATTTACTGACAATTTACTTAGAATTTACTAGAAATTTACGAAGTAATTTACTCATAATTTATTGGGAATTCACTAAGTAATTTACTGAGAATTTACTGTGAATTTACAGGGAATTTGCTTAGAATTTACTGGGAATTACTGAGTAATTTACTGAGAATTTATAATGTAATTTACTGAGAATTTACTGATTAATTTAATGAGAATTTATTGGGAATTAACTGAGTAATTTACTGAGTAATATACTGAGAATTTACTGGTAATTTACTGAGTAATTTACGAAGAATTTACTGAGAAGTGCCTAGAATTTACTAAGTAATATACTAAGAATTTACTAGGAATTTACTAAGTAATTTACAAAGAATTTACTGGGAATTTATTTAGAATTTATTGTGAATTACTTAGTGATTTACTAAGAATTTGTTAAGTAATTTACTGGGAGTTTACTAAGGAATTTACAGAGAATTTACTGATAATTTACGGACTAATTTGCTGAGAATTTTTCTTGGAATTTACTGGTAATTTACTGAGATTTTACTTAGTAATTTACGGAGAATTTACAGGAAATTTACTAAGTAATTTACAGAGAACTTGTTGAGTAATTCACTGGGAATTTACTTAGTAAATTACTGAGTAATTTATGAAGTAATGTACTGAGTAATTTACAGAGAATTTCCTGAGTAATTTACAGTGAATTTACAAAGTAATTTAAAGAGTAATTTACTGGGAATTTACTGAGTAATTTATAAGAGAATTAATTGAGAATTTATTGGGAATTTACTTAGTAATTTAATATGAATTCACTAAGGAATTAACAAAGAATTTACTTAGAATTTATTAGGATTTTACTGAGCAATTTACTGAGAATTTACTGAGTAATTAACTGAAAATTTGCTAGGTAATTTATTGAGAATTTGCTGAGAAATTTACTGAGAAGTTACAGGGAATTTACTAATTAATTTACTGTGAATTTACAGGGAATTTATTAAGAATTTACTGGGAATTTACAGAATAATTTACTGAGAATTTACTAGGAATTTATTAAGTAATTTCGGAGAATTTACTGTGAAATTTAATGAGAATTTACTGGGAATTTACTTAGAATTTACTACGTAATTTTCTAAGAATTTATGAGGAATTTACCGAGAATTTACTAAGTAATTTATGAAGAATTTATAAAGTAATTTACGAAAAATTTACTCAGAATTGATTGGGAATGTACTGAGTAGTATACTAAAAATTTGTTGGGAATTTACTGAGTAATTTATTGAGAATTTAATAAGAATTTACTGAGTAATTTGCTGAGAGTTTACTGAGTAATTTACTAAGTAATTACTGAGAGTTTACAAAGTAATTTACTGAGAATTTACTGGGAATTTACTAAGTGATTTACTTAGAATTTACTGGAAATTTACTATGTAAATTATTAAGTAATTTACTGAGAATTTACTAAGTAATTTATTGGGAATTTACTAAGTAATGTACTCAGTAATTTACTGAGAATTTACTAAACAATTTACTGAGTAATTTGCTGAAAATTTACTAGAAATTTACTGAGAAATTTATTGAGAATTTACTTAGAATGTACTGAGAATTTACTGAGTAATTTACTAAGAATTTACTAGGAATTTACGGAGTAATTTACTGCCAATTTACTCTGAATTCACCAAGTAATTTACTAAGAATTTACAAGGAATTTACTAATTAATTTGTTGAGAATTTACTAAGTAATTTCCTGTGAATTTATAGGGAATTTAATGAGAATTTACTGCGCATTTACAGAGTAATTTACTGAGAATTTACTGAGAATTTGCAGGGAATTTATAGAGAATATACTAATTAATTTAATGAGAATTTACTTGTAATTAACTAGAAAATTTACTGAGAATTTACTAATTAATTTATTGAGAATTTACTGGAAATTTACCGTGAATTTACTGGGAATTTACTGAGCAATTTATAGAGAATTTACTAAGAATCGCTTGAGAATTTACTGGTAATATACTACGAATTTACCGGGAATTTACCAAAAATTTACTGTGAATTTACTGAGTAATTTTTTGAGTAATTTTCTAGCAATTTACTTTGTAATTTTCTGATAATTTACAGAGAAATTTAATGAGAATTTACAGGGAATGTACTAATTAATTTAATGAGAATTTACAAAGTAATTTACTAGGAATTTATTGAGAATTTACTGCGAATTTACTGAGTAATTTACTGAGAATTTGTTAAGTAATTTATTGAGAATTTACTGAGTAATTTACGGAGAATTTACTAGAAATTTATTAAGAATTTACTAAGTAATTTAATATGAATCAAGAGTAAGGTGAGGGTTGTTACATAATTTATAGGGAATTTACTGAGTAATTTACTTAGAATTTATAGGGAATTTTCTGAGTAATTTACAGAGAACTTGCTGAGTAATTTACTGAGAATTTATTGAATATTTTGCTGAGTAATGTACTGCGAATTTACAGAGTAATTTACTAATAATTTAATGGGAATTTACTTAGTATTGAATTGAGAATTTATTTTGAATTTACTTAGTAATTTATTAAGAATTTACTGAGGAATTTACTAAGAATTTACTGGGAATTTACTGAGTAATTTACTGAGTAATTCATTGAGAATTTACTGTGAATTTAAGGAGTAATTTTCAAAGATTTTACTGGGTAATTTACTGAGAATTTGCTGAGAAATTTACAGGGAATTTACTAATTAATTTGCTGAGAATTTACAAGAAATTTACTGAGAATTTACTAGGAATTTATAGAGTAATTTACTGGGAATTTATTGAGTAATTTCTGAGAATTTACTGATTAATGTAATGAGAATTTACTGGGAATTAACTAAGTAATTTTCTGAGAATTTGCTGAGTAATTTTCTTAGAATTTATTGGGAATTTACCAAGAATTTATTGAATAATTTATGAAGAATTTACTAAGTAATTTACTAAGAGTTTACTGAGTAATTTACAGAGAATTTACAAAGTAATTTACTACGAATTTACTGAGTAATTTAGTTGAAGTTTATTGAGTAATTTACTTGAAATTTACTGAAAATTTACTGAGTAATTTAATATGAATTTATTGGGAATTTACTGAGTAATTTACTGATAATT